CTCATTGCCAGAACCGTTTCCCAATTTAGAACCTTTTCTTCTGATTAATATTTGTATTCCTCCCACAATTCCTCTTCTTATAGGAATTCGTACTGGGAATTATTCCAGACCTACATAATGTCTCTGAAATCTTTTTATCCCTCTGTTTGCTGATCAGTGGAAAGGATTTTAATGCCAGGTTAGGTAATCGAGATAAATCCTAACTTCATCTAACTTTATCCCTCGACTATGTCTTGGATATTCTAGAAACATTTTTTGTGATCCATAAATAAATTCACACAGGATTTTGATTAATCTTTTTTTGCTCTTATTTTTCTAGCGAAGCCTCATTACATTAAACGGGAGATCAAACGGAGTGAATTACAGCTTCCACTATTCCACTTGCACTAGTTTGTTCAGTGCCACACCTTTTTTTGTTGAAAACATCAGTAAGCTCCAAAGAGAACCTTTCGTGCACAGCTGGACATGTGCAATATATTTTAGTACCATCCTGAGGCAGGGATGGCTTCTTCCTAATAATGCCTTCTAGCCCCATTCAGTTACTTGAGTGAGCTTACATAGCAGCGCGGAGTATATGCTCGTATAGTTCACTTCTCAGTGCCCTTCATTATCAAGTAGATGGAGCTAACCAAGTCTGTTCTCTGGTGGGTGCTTGGAGCCAGCAAAGACACGAGGATGCTGCTGCAGGCTGGGAGAGGTGGGGCTCCTGGCTCTGAGAGCTGCATCACAGCACTGCAGTCCTGTGGGCTGGTTCCTTCTGCTTCTGTGTGCCCTCGTATGGGACACCTCGTGGCCATGAGCCAGCTGCTTCACATGCACCTAAGGAAAAGCTTCACCAAAAAATACGCATCCCATTTGGAAAGCGATCTGACCTTATGTGCAGGCAGTAACAGGGAGCTGGTCCCTCGTTAGCCATTTTCTTCTGACACTGTTAGTCTGAACCTCCTGCTGAAATGGACCCAGAAGTCAAAGTTTCCTTCCCAAGAAGAAAACTTTGGTTTGTGTGACTGCCAGATGGCAACTCGGCACCTCGGAGCCAGTGGGTTAAATGAGCCCAGGGATGGTGGTGACTTCAGTTCGTTAGGAGAACTGGACTGCGCGTTACCCCTGACAGTCCTACTGATAGATGGAATGGAAAAAACCCTCCCTTGCTTTGACCCAGAGTTGCTCTTTTCTCTGATGGTTCATTGATTCCCTTTGCTTCCCTTCTCATTTAACAGATTTTATAAGTTGGGCATTTACAGATCTGCTGCTATTAACATTCAGTGTTAGTGGACCCGGGAGCTTCTCTGCCAACTATTGCAGAGCTTCTGAGCCTGCTGATTTAAAAATGTTCATTGCTGATAGATTCTAACATCTTTCTCAGTTACTAATAGACTGGAAAGTATTTCATCATCTTCAAGCAATGAAAGCAAATCATCCTTCTTTCCAAATACTGAATAAAAGTCTGTTTGAACACTTCTGCATTTTCTGCATAATCCTTCACAATTCTACTGCCTGCACCGAGCAGTGACCCTGTACTGTTGCTAGGGTTTCTTCTGCAAACACAACTTTCTTGTACTAAGCTCCGTCAGCCACGGATTTTATTCTGAGGTTTCTTTGTTTCATGCTTCTGTTCATGTAGGTCAAGAGTTTTCCTGGCTATTGATTTACGACGAGGTAGATGCAGTGCTAGTGTTTGACATTTCTGTATTTGTTTTTGTTTGCTGATACGACTAACAAACGTTAACCACGCGAGTCAATTGTTTTAAGATTACATGCTGAGTATCTGGCAGTCTATTAATGTTTGCTTTTTTTTTTTTTTAAAGTGCCAGGTAAAATGCCCAACGAGCCAGGAATAATATACCATTTTCCCAGTGTTCACATACATACGTGTATCTTTGTAATAAATATTTAATATTGTATACATATAAATATATGTATATATAACCTCCCCAGTAGCAACCCAATATAGTACATTTTTGACAACCTGGAGTCTTTTAATATTTGAAGTAGGGGCTTGCAATATAGCAAAGGAATGACCCTGGTGAGAGATGTGCATTTCTTTTTCCCTTTGAAATCTGACATGTCACGAGTCTCATTGTGTTAGTCTATGTGTGTTCTGCTGAGACTTGCCAGTGTTGAGCGATGTATTCCACAGAGACCTTGTCCAACAACAAGCACCATCCTGGCTTCAGGCAGGAGCAGAATTTTACCTGCAATGCACAGCAGAGGAGCCAGCGCTGGCTGGCAGAACTCAAAAGCAGTGCAGATAGGAGGACACAGAAAGTATGGAGAAATAGTTGTGAATCAGGGAGAGAAGCAAAAATATGGGGACAGGGAAAGTCTGTAGGGTAGGGGCAGAAAGAACAGTGCTGGTTCCTGTGTGTTCCCTGTTAAGAATGTGGAACCGAGTTCAACACCACACAGTGCCTCTCATGCAGGTGTAGCAGCAAATACATGAAACCACCAGCACAGCAAGTGTGTTCAGATTCAATCTACTTTAGGTCTTTATAAAGGAAGACAGCGACTTACTGTTACCAAGGATCTCATTATTTGAAGGTATGAAGACCCAGAGGAGGATTAGGATAGCAGAACAGCATCTCTTTGGCCACGGTACCTTGGGAAGAGCTCTGCAGTGCAGAGGGGCAGTGCTACCTGTGCTGCTTATGTCTGGAGAGGCATCCTGGTACAGCTTCAGCAGGGCTGGAGGTACAGCAGGCAGTAGAATAGGGTTGTTGGGAGTCTGCCCCCTCTTTCACATGCTGTTTGTGCTCTGCAGACACTTATATTCTCTGTGCTGCATCACCATATGTTGGAGGTCCTCATTCCTTCATCAGAGCTGTTCTCATGTTCACTCCAGCCTGCTTGCACCACTCTGCTGACACTGCACAGAGTGTATGGGCAGAGAAAAACGCAGAGTGTGTATCAATAGAAATACATGCATGCAGCTCATTGTGCATGGACTAACAGACCCCCTGCCACAGTGCTGTATCCTCTCTTTCTGCTCACGTGTGTTTGCTTTGGGCTGCACATTTCTGCAACCACAAGCTGACAATCAGAAATCCAGCAAATTATCCAGGCTGAGAATACATATTTATCTTACACTCTAAGTTTTTTCTGTAGCACCCCCAACAGGTGACAAGGTGGTAGCATGACAGCAGGGTATGCTGCCCTTGGATTTGGCTGTGTAAGTACTTTTTGTGTGTTCTTTATACCTTAGAGCCCAGTGGCTCTCTTTTCTCATAACTACCGTTACAGCACTCTCAATCTGAGGGGCTTTCCTGTGCTGAACCTTTGTCTTGCACTCTCACCACTGTGTCTCTTCATTTTCATTAGTAGCAGATGGAGCGTGAGTCCCAGTTCTTCCTTTCCATCCTTGCTGCCAAGAGATCTCTGGTGCCTAGGCATATTTTGTAGATACTTAATTTTCTGCTAGTTTTCATCCAGTGATTTTGATTAATTTTATCCATGTACATAAAATTATTTTCTGAGTGACACTTTTCATTTAAAAATCCTGCTGAAAGCTAGGTTTACTAACCTGATTCCAGTGAAAACATTTAATGCTTCCTCTTTTCAAATTTGAACCTCATTATTATTTTTCTGTAATCCACTTTTAATTGTAAGTACCCAGCATTCTGCCAGTTCACGCGGCACCAAATGACACAAGGTTGCTCTGGAGTGCTCCAGTGAGCATCTTCTGGGGAATATTGAAATTCAATGGAAACAACATGAGAACCATTATCTGAAACAGCCTCTTCAGGCAAACCATATGGGGTGAAATATTCTGCACTGCTTCAATAATCTGAGCACAGATATGTTCACTGGTAACTCTGCAGTAAGCATCACTCATTTGCTTTGTCTGTGCAGTATTAATGAGCCATTTCAATAGACAGCAGGTTTCAACTATATTTGGTGCATATTCATGTTGCTTCCTTCAAGTTGTTTCAAAACTCCTTTCCCTAGATTAACTAGAAAGTCTCAGTTATCGTGTCAAGTGCAGGGTACCAAAGACAAGGGTCATCCTGTCCTTTCCAGTCTTGGCTGAAGAGTGGGGCTGGTGTTTGGAAGAGAGATGGTGTGGTAGGCGTGCTGCCTTTGCTGAGCCTTCCTTCAGCAGAGAGGCTTGGCTGCTGCTTTCAGCAGTGTTTGCCAGGGCTACTTCTTTCTGAACATGAAAAACCTCCATATTATTTTGTGGTTCATCTGTCACATGGGGTTTGTGGTTGCTAGCAAGCAGGGGAGCCTTACAACTCTTCTTACAGATAGAAGTTATGGTCATGGAGGAGTGAGAAGATGGTGAACTCGAAATGGAGAGCACAGAAGGAAAAGCTGTATGTTTTGACTGGCCTGATCTGTGCTGTGTTTCTAAATATCTATCTGTGCTGCTGTTCTGATGTGCTCAGGGGAGCTGAATTGCCCCAGACATTGGTGCAGGTATTTGCAGAGCCTCGTTGTGCATGTATGCAGCATATTCCACTGGGCTGATAAACTCCAAAGAACGGTGTCTGAGAACCAAGATGTACAGAGAGATCTGTGAGGGGTGCCAAAAGCCCCACAGAGGGTACTGGTTAGTACTGAAAACCATGTGGAGGGTTCCAGGGAGTGGAAAAGTCGCTTGAAATTTAAGAAATATTTTGATTGACACCCTTTTCTCTTTGTCAGCATTCAGCAACCTTCCTTTATCTTAGTGCTTTTTTTTTTGTAGTAACTATAGGGAGCTTAGCCCAGACAACAGCTGAAAGAATGTATGAATAGATCAGCAAGGTCACTCAAAGGTCTTTCTAGGGAAGGGCATTCACACTGCAATCTTGAACTAACCACTTCCCAAGAAAGTCAACTCAGGTATTTAAACAGCACCACAAGGAAAGAGGCTGAGGGTTGCCAACACCAAACTAGGTTAGCTTATGTGCCTTGGTTGCTGGTAGAAAAAGAGGTTTTTTTAATTGCAGCTCTTTATTTATACTATGTTCTCTTCACAAAAAAAGATGAAATAGAAAATAAACTTATGATTTATCCAGCAGGATGGAACTGGCAATGCTGTGGCTGAGGGAGGCGGAGGTCAGCAGCCAAGGGCTGGAGCAGGAGCCACATCCTCGAGTTGCAGCAGCGCAGTTTGATGCTGTGGTTGTGCCAGGGCTGCTGGGAGAAGAGCTGGACTGGCTGAAAACTGCAGTCCTCTCAAGCTGGTGGAAGAGCTACGGGTGAGGGTTTTTTCCCCTTCTTTTTTGGGAACAATCTTTGGAAGAGAAGGAACAAAGACTAATGACAAGCACAAATGTCTGTGAGGCTGTCCTCCACCTTTTCAAATCCTTGTATTTCTTTTTATATATTGTTAGAAGCAAGTTTTATTGCAATGTCTTTTCCTTCTCTGTAAAAGAATTGTTAACATCGCACAGTCTATCTCCAAGGCTGTGGTGGCCCTGCTGCTCCTTTCCTTTCCCTCTCTGGAAATTGCAATAATTTTAAATATCCTCTTGGAGCTGGGGCAGCTTCTCTATTCCCAGGAGCAGACAGCCCTCTACCTTGGCACAGGCTCTTCTTTGGTGTTGCTGCAGCTTACTAGAGAGGTTTGGCTCCAGTCCTCCTTGCACTGAGAGCTGAGTGCTATGAGGAGCTCCTCAGGGCTCCCCCAGCTGTCAGCTGTGTACAGGGACGTGGTTGCTGGTGCCTGGGGGAGGTGGGGGGAAGGATGGCTCCACCACTGCCAGTGTCCAGCTGCTAATGCTATTCCATGTGTCAGCAGCCTTGGGGACAGCTTGGGGAGCAGGACAGAGATGTCAAGGCATGTGCCTGGGTTCTTCTGATGGCTTTGTGAGCTCAGAGGTGTCCCTGGCAGGGGATGTGCCCATTGCTGGGGCTCCCCAGCTGCCCACTGCCACCAAGGGCTGTATGTGGTTGGGAGTAATGCTGTATGTGGTGCCTAGTGGCTGCGTTTGCTAACAATCTTAGGTGGTGCTAAATAAAATATTTTGTGCCGTTGCATTCACTCAGCTGCCAGGCAGAGTATTTGGAGAGCTGCTGGAATCCCAGACTCCTCCCAGTAGTAAGCCAGTTCATAGCCACCATTTGCTGGGTTGGAGTTTGAGATAGGAACGTGACCTGGGACCTGGGATGTTGGAGATACCAAGTGGGTCTGATTCTGCCTTCATTTACTGAAGAGTAGCTTTCAGTGCAATTTGTGCTGTTTTTCCTCAGTGAAGCAGTAGAAGCCCCTGTGAGGCAAGGAGCATAGTACTGATGGTGCAGGGAGCAATGGAGGATGTAGGCACAGCAGGAGATGTTGAATAGGTGCCCCAAAATGATGACTGATCAATGCTAAACCTCAAGGTGGCTCGAGGGGCCTGAGCATCTCATTATTGGTGTGTCAGTTGATCCCAGAAGATCCATGGAAGACCTGGTAGGGACTTGCTGCTGCTAGCCAGAGGCACAGTTATCCCAGGAAAGTCTGAAAGGCCCCCACAGCCAAGGTGGTGGGTTGGGGTGCTGTCTTCAGAGCTGTGCATTGAGAGCACAAGGCGTGGTTGCAGAAGCAGCAGCTGGAGCATGGGAAAGGCTGCTGGGGTCAAACAAGCAGGAGCACAGTTAAATCTGAGATGAAGATTTTTCTTCCCAGTGACTGAGAGGGACACTTAGAGGGCCTGGCACATCTCTTGCAGGAGTTTAGGGCTGCAGGAGAGTTGCCCTCTGCGGGGATTAGCTGCTGAGTTGAGGCTGCTTGGAGGGGGCATTTGGCTTATGGACTTTGTGCTGGGCATGTGGGCTTTGTGCCTGTGGGCATGTCTCACTGCGTTGGCTGGGACGAAAGGTAGCAGCTGGCTCAGCCTTCCACTGTCGGCTCAGCCTTCCACTGTCAGATGCTCTTCACTGTAGATAAAAGCTTTTTCTGGTTATTCTAGCTCCCATGGCTGTCAGGGTTCTATAAATGGCAAAGGCTGCCACTGTGGGTCAGCCCTGTGGGAAGTCTCATCTTGTCCATCTGCCCCAGGAGCAGGCTGGCAAACCATCCTCCTTTCCTAAGTGCGCCACAAAAACAGGCATCTCAGTGCTTGAACTGCAACCTACCCAAAAAAGCACCTCTGCGCCTATGGATGTGTTTTGGGTGAGCTTTGGGAGAGCTTTTGCCTGGCCCAGCCAAGCCTCCTGGGTGTCTGAGAGGTCTTAGGCTTGGCTGCTGGAGCAGAGGGTCAGAAACCCACTGAGCGCTTTTTCATGCCTGCCTCTACTTGGGTGACAACAGGAGTCTGAGTACCACTAGTTGTAATGGAAGTGTTGGGAGTAGCTATCCTGCTATTTTTCTGTTAAAACCCATGTTTTCTTTTCCTAGATGCTTGCTGCTAACTGCTTTTTCACCTCTTGTCCACCCTTCCACCAGCCGCTTGGGGCCACCATTTTAGACTTCAGCTGGAGCTGCAAAGCGTTAGTGATCTTGTTTTCCAGAGATCGTATTTGAAGTAGAAAGAACTGGATTTTGCCTTCATTTACGCCTCAAGGAGCTGCCACAGGGGGAGGGGCCAGTGTTTGCCAGCTTGCTCTGCTCCCTGCAGCCCTCACTGGGGAGCCGCGCCACAGGAAATGCTGAGCAGGAATCAGGCATGAGAGCATCGTGCTGGGTTGGTTTTGCTCTTGGAAACAGAAGGTGGAGCAAGCCACAACTGAGACAAGGTGACTTTTGGTTTGGTGCATGTTTTACTTAATCCTTGCTAACATATCACAGAAGCAGCCCTTGCCTTTCTGCTGATCCCCAGCTTGTCTCGCTCCCAGCTTTTCTCAGGAAAATCTCATTGCTGTGTTTGTGGAGCTAAAAGAGGGCAGCCAAAAACCGTGGTTGTCCTGCTGCAACAGCTCCTATTTCTTTGCAGTGCTGGAAAGAGCCACTTCTCCTTCTTTACCAGTGCTACCTTCAGCCCAGCTTGTGCCATACTCCATTTTATCAAGGCTGCAACAAGCACGGCTCTTACAGAACTCCAGTCTTTGTTGCAATGTGCTTCATAAACACTGCAGTTAAATAGATGGTAGAAGGCATTTTTTCAGGGGAAGGACAGCAGGGCATCTGGAAGGACAGGGGCCCTGCCAGCTTAATTGGAAGTTAAACAGCAGTTGCTGCAGGGACTGAGTTGTGTGATAGCAGGAAACCTTAGTGGCTTGTTTTGTGCCCACATAACTCACTGAGGCTTGGGAACAAGCTCTGGCAACCCCATCTGCTCTGGTTGGACCATGCTCATCTCTGCACTTAAGTTTCATCTCGTTGCTCTTGAGGAGAAGTCTTTTCTAAAGAGTTCCTTATTTGGAAGTCTTAATGAGACTTACTTTAAAGAGTAAGGAGATGAGACTTAAGCACCAAGATGGACAGTGGGGGTCAGACCCCACCAGACAAGCTATCACAGCAAAGCAAAGCCCAACCAGGGTGGCTGAGGTTGCCAGACCTTGCTCTCCAGCCCCAATGGGTTGTGCAAGGACAGCTGAAGGTTTTCTGCTTCCACATAACCCAGTATCTTTGGCAATCACTGTTCTTAAAGTGCTCTGGATGGTAGAGTGCATTAACAGGTCAACCCTATTTCCCAAAGGGAATCTCTTTGTAATTTTTGGGGGTGTTTACAGTTGGTTAGAAGTCAACTAGTTGCATCTTGATTTGTGGGCAGGATACTCAGGGAGCTGGCACCGGTGTAGAACTACCAATGCTGTGTTCCTCCGGGATGCAGTTACAGCTACTGCAGCTGGCATCAACACATGTCTTTTGTCTTCCTCTCCAATCCAGCTGTTTAGGCTGAATCATCACTTTGCTGTTGGGAAGAGCTGAGATGTAAAACTGCCAGAACTTATTTGTGTCTTCTGCTACCTACATTACCCAAACGTGCACTCACCTCCTCAGGTGCAGGCTGACAGTGCCTGCTGGGAGCTGCAGCCAGGCAAGGGCAGGAAAGCTTCTTCCCCCACGCAAGTGCACTGGATAGTGTAGTAGGAGGCAATGCAACAGATAGGGGGCTGCTTCTCCAGTCTCTGGGAAGAAAGTGAGGCAGGGCGCACATCTCTTCTGTCTTCCTGAATTTCTGTTATTGCTTGTCCAGTGTAGGACATGCTGCAAAAAAAGAAAGGCAGCTTAATTGCCTCCGATCTAATCCTTCCTTGGGCACCCAACCCTTGCTGTCAGAACTGAAGCAGGGAGTTTGTCACCTCCGGCTCTGCTTGTGCTCTGCTGGAAAAATGATATATGAGGGGCACAGCTTCTAGCAGCAACCCTTCCTTGCTGATAACTGCAGGGAAACCTAAGCAATACTAGTAATCTGGCTGTAGCTGCTAAGAACCAGGTAAAGCAAAGAGATGAAAAGCCGAGATGGAGATTTTGGGGGGGTGTTCCATTCCTCCTGTGCTGCCACACATGGGTAGGGGCTGCCTCAGGCTCTGATCCTGCAAGGAGAGTGTCCTGGCTGGCAAAGGCAGCCTTGGTGCAACCCGAGGAGAAGCCGTAGAAGAGATCAGTTTTGGGGAGTTGAGTTGTATTTGTTCTTTCCTTATCTCTGCCCTCCAGTGTTAAGGTCTGCAATGAAAGCAGGATCCATGCCAAGCAGGATGGAGCACTCCAAGGGGTCACAGCAGAGGGCTGCATCTATGAGAGCATCTTGGAGCCACTAAGATGGTGCTGACATCTGAGAAGATTTTTCTGGTGATTTTTCACCATGCTGTTCACTGCTGACACCGCCTTCCTCACTGCAGGGTAAACCCCTTCAAACCAGAGCAGCCCCATGTGCATTCTTAGGGGTGAGACCCATGGAGGGCTCGTGAGGGAATCAAAGCAAATGGGGGGACTTGAGTGGTGGGGACACCAAAAAGTAAATGGATACCCCCGAGGGGCATCAATGGGGACACGCAGAAAGAAATGGAGGGTGCTGAGGGCCATTAAAAGCAGGCTGAGATTTATAGGGAAGGTACCAAAAGGTTTAGAGTGACCCAAGAGGCACACAAAAGTCCTGGGAAGCACAGGGATGGAAATGGAGGGGCTCTGGGGGCACTGAGAACCACTTGGAGGAGCAATGCTGGAGCAGAGGAACAAACAGCAGTGCTGATTTTCTTCTTGTTTCTCCAGCAAGCTGGAGAACTGCGAAAGCAAAACAAAAGGTCGAGAGGACCAGAGGGATTTGGGGCACCAAGACAAAGATCTAGCACCCTGGGGGCTCTAAAAACTACATGTGGGGATGTGGATGGCACCATAAAAGGACAAAAGTCTCTGGGGACACCAAAGAGGGCTCTGGAGGAGCTCCGAAACCAAAGGAGTGACATGCATAAGAGGAGTCCTGTGTCTGTCCTTTCTCCTCCTGCTCTGGCATCCATGTTGCGGCTAAATTTCACTGTGTATAAGTGTCCCAAGAGAATTCCCCTCTTGTCCGTGCTATGGAAGGGAAACATTCCTGTTTCCACTCTGATCTTACAATGGCTTGTCAGTGACAAAACATTCCCAAATCCTCTCATTTATCAAATGGCCAATCCTGTTAACAGCTTAAGAAACATAATTACCTGCAATCTCTTCTGCTATTCATTTTATGCCTACACTTCCCTCTTGCTGGCAGCTTACCAGCAGGCAAGACGAGAGCTGAAGCAGGGCTGCAGCCACGGAGCACTTCAGCAATGCAATTTCCCTTAATCACCTGCACGGTGATCACGGGAGTTTTGCCTTCCCATTTGCAGCAGCCAGAAGCAGGTGAGGAAGTAAAGCACAGAGCCAAAAGCATCAGCTAACGTGCCACCAGATGTGTGCAGGTTTTCAAGCACGGTTACGTTTTCGGTGCTGTTCCACCTGTAAAGTGGGAACTGTGTCAGGATGTGCTTTTAGAGTACGTGGTATCGCAGCCAGCTTTATGTGCCTTGGAGATAAATGTGCATGGGTGGGCTCAGAGAGGAGCAGCAAGAAATCAGAAAAGCAGAGCCCAAAACATGAGTGAGCTGGTGAAGTAATGGGGGAGGAGGAAGGGGAATTGGGGTCAGCAGGAGGTGGTAGGAGGTCCTGTTTGCTGCGCTGCTAAAACAATCTGAATTTATCTTATTTTACAGTGCATCTACTGCTTGTGTGAGATTTTACGCTGTCTCATTTGGATTGTATCTCAAGGAGGATTTAGAGGAGCTTGCAAGCTGGAGATCTGCTGACTTCCCAAAGGTTGGTTACATACAGGACAGCTGAAGCCGGAGAGGAACGCCTGTGACCACAATAGCTTCTTCCTCCCGCCTAGGGACTAGAAAATCTCTGGGTCTGTCCCACTCACACAGCTGCTGAGGAAGCTATCTTTCGTGCCTTTGAATCTTTCACTACCCTGACATTATCACTGTACATTTAACTGGCCAAGACACATCCTTGCCTGCGCTGTCTGTTTAGACCCATTTCAGTTTTGAAGGATTTTTGTTCGCATACACTACCTCTCTTTTCGACCATATCAGCTATTTCTGATCCTCAATGTTTTGGATAAGTGATATACATTTCTTCTGACACTTTCATGTGTTATTTTTAAGCTGTGTTTATGCTTCTTGCCAACATTTTATCCTTGCGGTTCTTTGAATTTTGTATTAAAAACCCTATGAACAAACTGTACACAATTCAGATCTTTTTAAAGTCAGCCACCATCTTAGGGGATTTCAGGCTTTTTTCATCCTGCTAAGATACTGAATTCAAGTATATCTTGGTCACTATTAGTGAATAACCCTTTCCTAATAGCACTTTGAACCTCCAGTGCTGAATTTGAATTGGACATTAGACATTTGAATTCAGCATTTGAATTTATGTTGACTGAATTTGAGTGCAGCCTGAACATGGCCTGGACCCAGGAGCTGAGGAACTTGGGTGGCTCTGGGCTGCCTGGCTGGAGCTGTGTGCACTGGTTGGGAGCAGCCAGGAGATGCATAAGAAAGTAACTGAGACTTTAAACAGAGCTTGAAACAAATTGAGTTCCTATATTTAACAATGTCTGATATATATAAAGGGAAATTAAAAACTGCAAACAAATAAACTGTACCGAAAGAAAGCAAAAACTGCCCCAATAATAATAAAAAAGTAGGACATCTGTGTTTTTATACAAGAACTTGTGTTTCTTTTATGACATTTTCTTCAAATCATGTAAGCCCTTCAGAGCAGCTCTAATGCCCACTGGAGTTCTCCAACCTAAATGTCTTGTCGTCAGTGTAAGGAACAAAGATAATATAATTTGAATGCTGGATGCAACAACATAGGCTGCTCTCGAGGCTGATTCTCTCTGCTCCAGATGGGAATGATGGCTCCAAACAGACTCACCAGAACAGACTGAGAAGCAGACATCTCATTTGTGAGGAAATGGTCAATATTTCAGCTCTTTTCTTCCCATTTGTTTCTTTGTAGAAAAAAAAAAAACAACAACAACAAAACCAAACCAAAAAATCCCACAAAAAATACAAAGCCCCTCACAGTTGCACAAAAATGCTGCTATTTCAAAGCAAATTTTAAAACATTTCTGATTTGCAAGTGGCATTTCAGCATTTTTGTGAGAATAAAATACTGTGGTGCTGTGTTTAAATATTTCATTCCAGCTCCTTGAACAAACTTACAATCTTATAATAAGTTTTTTTGTGGTTTTTTTTCCTGACATTAAAGCGTGCTGCTCTGTGGTACCGATAGCTTAGGCATCTCCAGCTCCAAGTGCAGCCACAGGAGCCCTCCCTGCTCACAGCTGATCAAAGGCAAACCACACTGCCACCCACGAGCCACCGCTTGTCCTCAGCATCCAGCCCAGGAGAGAACACAAATCCCAAATCCCCCCGAGCCCTTCTTCCCCAGGAGCAGCACCATCCGTGAGCAATACTGCTGTTGTAACCCTGCTGTGAAAAGGTGGAGCAAGTTCAGTAAACAAAAATACTTTGCCTTGGTTCAAATTGTGGCGAAACAAAACATCAGCCAGCGCTGGCTGTTCAATTAAACTGTTTGTAGTGCAGGCTTTGGAGGGGAAAATGCTGAAAAAAGGATTTGGGGATCATATGTATTGCATGGAGAAAACGTTTAATGAGAAATTTTCCAAACCTCTTTGCAGCTCGCAGGCAGCACTCTTCTCCTGCATGTGACATGTGCATCGCCCTCAAATTCAGAGGATGGCTCACAGCTGCTGTGACTGCAGCCAGGATGTATCTGGGGCTGAGAGTTGCCCATGGGAGCCAGGAGGTGAGTGTCCTTTGTTTGGATGTGCCTGCTGAGGGATGCTTCATCCATAGCCCCACTGCAGCCATCCCTGTTTTCTGGGGGCAAGTGGGTCAGAGAGAACATCCCTGTTACACCAAGAGGCCTCTTTGACATTTCAAGTAGCATTTCTAAATGCTATTTGCGTCAGACATGCGAGCTGTCCAAACACAGTGCCAGGTTTGGTGTGTTCCTTCTGCTTTTTACCACTTCTAGCAAAAATTCCCACTGATGCCACGTTGCTGTAGCCTCCATTTCTTGATCCCCACATTCTCAGAAAGGTGCATTTTAAGATGCATCATCTTCCCTCAGCTAATTCAAAATTACCTGCTAAGAAAGAGAGCCAGAATTCTTTCTGTGTGCTGGGTTTGTGTAGCTGGCATTGCTGCTGCTTTCCAAGCCCCTTCCTGGGGTCGAGCTCTTCTCACGCTGACTCTCCTTAGTCATGTAGTTCAGGTCCTTCCTAATGTTTGGTTAGCAACTACACTTTTTCCACACATCAGTTGTGAGTGTTTCTCATCCAGAAGCTCTCAGAATATCATGTTTTAGTTAATTCTGTATGTAATTCTGACGCGAGAGCAAGAAGCTGTTGTTCTTATCCTAGAGGACTCAACAGATCTGTTTTCAGAGATGCTGAGTCTCCTCTTCCTCAGCATTTACCCCGAAATACCCATTTTCTCCCTTTTTCTGGAGCAGTGCTGCACCACCACTCTGCTATGGGAGCTGCTGCACTGTGCCCCAGATTGCAGCTGAAATCTTGATGCTGGCTGAGCCCCAGGACTCCCAGCTCCTCCCGCTTCTTCCCTTGCTCTTCACGGTGATAAGCCGTGCTGGCTTTCCTGGGGCCGAGATGATCTGTGATGTCCCTGTGGTGGTGGTGGCTCTCCCAGGGTCCCCTGTGAGCCATTTTGTGGTGTTGGAGCATCCTGACACCATCAGCTGACCTCAGGACATCGGTACCCATGGTAGCACCTCGCTACTGGGGATCCTGCAGAAACCAACAACCGATGTGGGTGTCTGGGGGCACGCTGCAGGGCAATGCCACGAGAGGACAGGGAAACTTGCTGCCTCACCCAACCACCAAGCTGCCTTAGGAAGGCTTGCATTAGCACAAGGGCGCTTTGCATCCCCGCCGCTCTGAGCAGATCTGACGGCTCTCGATGCGTGCGAATGAGGCCGCAGCCAGCACGCAGGGAGGATGCAAGCAAGCACAAGTTAGTGCTTGTGTTTGCCACTGATAAATGTATTAGTCTTTAAAGCGGTATTTAAACTACAACCCTTTTTCAGGCACCTCAGCACTCCGTTATTTTGCAGGCCTTGTAAAGGAATGTGATTTTGCCTTTTAACTGGAGTGTATCTTATGCTAAGCAGTGAGATTAAGCGTAGGGATCCAAAAGAAGTTGCTGAATGGCAGAATTGCCTTTATAAATAACATTAATAATTTATCCGATCCAGGGGTTTTTGGGTAAATGAAATACCTGCCTCTGTATAAAGCCCACTGAATAGGAACACATCTCCGCTTTTATGAGGCTTGGATTAAAGAAGGGAAATGCTAAGGGGCTTATCTTCGCTTCAATTTGCAGCCCTTCCGGCTAATGGCAAACTCATTTAAGAAGCTCCTGTGTTTGTGCCAACTCTGCCTTTATTCTCGGTGCCGGAGCTTGGCTGCATTTCTCGCCGCAGTGCTGGAGAGAGCAGAGAGGAAGCAGTTTGTTTTCGTGACCTCAGATTATCAGACAAAAGCCAGTGAGAATAATTTTGCTGGAATGCTCCCTATTACGAATTGTTTAAAGCGTGGTGGCTGGCGAGATGCTGACGGTGTGGGGTTTTGCCCCACCTGCTGAAGAGGACAGGGCTGTTGGCTGAGCTGGGACGAGACGAAAGAGCAGCTGTCATCTCTCTTCTGAGACACCTCTTCCTCATGCACAGACAGTTGTGAAATGGCAAAACCCATCCTCTACAAAAACCACGAGCGGTCGCTTTTCAGCTTTTCTTTTATGCCGGTAAAATCAATTGCTTCAAAGTTCACTGAAGGTGAAGGCAACATTTGCTTTCCATTCAGAGCTAAGCGGGCCATCTTCGAGAGCAAACGCTCGCAATAGGGAGAATAGCAAAAATCAGCAGAAAAAGTCTCTGAATAATTTGAACTGGGAGAGGAAAAAGCAATTTGCTCCCAGTTATTCCACAGACAAAAGTATGAATAAAAAAATCATGAGCTATTTACCCTGCCCAGGCTATTTGCATGAGTTTTATGCTATTCCAGTTTTGCTTCCCTGACCCCCAAAGACCTTATCACTGGATCCTCAAGGCACTTCAGTAAAAAAAAAAAGCATGCTCCTTTTCTTTTCTTTTTTCTTTTCCTTTTTTTTTTTTTTGCATGCTGGATCAGCAATGACCAAAAGCAGAGAAAACAAAAAGGGGTCTAAATCTGAACTGTGCTGATGCTTGCGTGTGTGTTGACCTGGATTAGAGACCTGGACTCGGCCTGCCAACTCTATCAGCATAGAAATTTTGTTCAAAACAGTATTATAAGTTTGTGTGCTTTGCTTTCAGATAGCGAGGCTGTGGCAAAGGCATGCGGGTATTTACAATCTGCTTTAGGAAAACCTGATAGAAGTTGTTAGCTGCTCTGTTGCAAAGGCAGCTTATGTCACCCACATCTGCTGCTGAAGGTAGCCCAGCCAGACGGCTGGCATGGCATGAAGTGCCAGCATCCACGCTGGCTGCAAGGAGGAGACAAAAATGAAAGAAGGATGAAGACCTCATAAGCTTTATCAGAAGCCACCAAAAAGTTGGGAGATTTGGGGATTACATCGTGTAATTATATTACCTTAAAGAAAAGTTTACTGAAGATTCCCTGTTTTGTGTTGCCAGCTCTTTTCAGCCATTAGTAACACATAACTTCTCATTGTCTTTTCCCGAGGCACAGATGGGCTAATTTTCAGCTACCTGATAATTACACATTGTTTGAAACTGTATCAAAAGCTTCTGTTCCTGCATTTCTCCAGCAGCTGTGCTACAGCTCACCAAGTCCCTTGATCACGGCTTGCAGGGGCCCTCATCCATCCATCTGTCTGGAACGGAGTGGCAAAGCCTCCATGGTCACATTCACACTTTGCAGGTTGCTGGGATTTGCTCTGCTGCCAAGGTGGGTGGAGTGCCTAAAGCCCACTGAGAGCATCTTCTTGGCTCAGTATCAGCATCTAAGGTTAATATGGGGATAATGCTGCATCGAAACATGTCCACTTGAATATGAGTGGGGATGCCGACGTCATGGCGAAATTAAGGGTAAAGGAACGAGATGCTGGAAATCAGAATAACAGTGGTTTAACCTTGATTTTACTTGGGCAAAGCTGTGGATGTGGCCACACTACAGGGATGCCAAGTTGGAGAAATGTGGCCCGTTGTCTGTATGGAGAGGAAGGGCGATGGTCCTTTCCCTAGAGTGATGGTTGGAGCTGGAGAAACCTCCTCTCCTCTTGATCCCTCCTCTTTGAGAGAGGTTACTCTGCCAGTTGAGCTCTGATTGGTTTTAGAGGGCATTTTCTCACCTTTTTTGGGCTGTCCCATGGGAAAATGCAAGAGGCCTCACTTCTGTGTTTTCTGCTTCCCCGCCGTCGTGTATGCTTGTTGCCATATCAAAGAGGGAAATTAAATTGGGTTGACATGACTGGCTCTTGACAAACCAATGTTCTTTGATTTTATTCATCATTTTACATCTTACAAGTTGCTCGTTTAATACTTTCTTCTAACCTCTTGAAGGGAATTGAGATTGAGTTGATTATTCCAAATTTTCTTAATGTCTCCACTTTAAAGAAAGGTGCTTCTCTCATCTCCAGGGACCTCTGTGCCTTCATAAATTTTGAAGATAATCACCAAGAGTTCAGTGTTCCTGGGTGCATCTTATCAGATCCTCTCATTCTGAATACATTTGATAAATCCAAACGGCTTTAAACTTCTTTCCTTTTGTTGGCCTTCTTCACCCTTCCCTTCAAAGGTGGTTCTGTTAAGCTTCATTCACAATTAACCTTTTTTTAAAGCCTGAAACGAAGAAGAGGAGGCAAATTCCTGCTTTGAACAGTTGGTCAGCGCTCTGTCCTTCCCCAGACAGTTCTGCACCTACAGGTCTTGCTGTTCTCATTTTACAGCTAATGCATTTGCAGACCCTGGCTGGTTTCCCCTGAAACCTTGAGCATGCAGCCTTAGCTGCTCGCATGCTGCGAACCTCTATTATTCCTGTATTCTACCCCCAGCACATGCCTGTTTCCACTTTCTATACAATTTCTTTCCAGCTTCTAGACCCTGATGCTGCTGTAATGCCATCTAATTATGCTTCTTATCTGCTTTCACAGGGGAGCAGTTTGCTGTTGTGCACCATCTCTAGTCTCTTCAGGGAACTGCCAATTCTGCATTTCCTTACAGCATATTTCCATCCAAGAGAGCTTCTCCACAGCTTCCCTGATCTGTCAGACGCTCATTATTTTGTTATTTCCATTCTCCCGTGTGATTGTGCTGGTGGGAAGAGACACTCAGGTAGGTTTTCCTTTTGGGATGTGAATTAAGGACTAGCCTGATAGAGCTGCAGAACTGAAAGGGGGCCACTGCAAAGCTTCCAAATCCTTCTGGTGGTGGGATGCCCCAGGTGGGACCAACTGGGGACTGCAGCAGAGAGAGAGAGCTGCTTGGAGAACAGATCCAGAGCTGGATGGGCCTTCTATGCAGGGCAGCACATTGGAAGGGGTGATCTGCAGCAGCCCACCCCCTACACTTTAACGCCTGCTGGGAGCATTCTCCATGCACGTCAGGACCGAGATGACAAGGCCTGCCCATACCTTGACTCTTCAGTTTATATTCATACTGTAAGCTCAGGAGAACGACAGTGTTCCCCACCTGCAGAGCCCTGTGTCGAGGTGGGTTTGGCTGAAGCCTCCGTACAGCGGCACCACCCGTACAACTGACATTTACTGTGCTGGCCTGAATTCCTTCACTTTTCCCCCATGGCCATTTGGAGTCAAGTGCCACTGGAAACACGGCTCCCGCCGGGAGGAATTTCAGATGCATTCAGATCTGAGACAGTTTTGAATGTAATTTTGAGTTTTACAATGGCTCTTCCGCTCGCTTGCTCGCCGCAAGTAATGAAGCAGCAAGATAAAAGGCAAGGCCAAGGAAGGTTGTTAAAAAATTGCTTGCAAATTAATGTGAGGACAAGGTGTATGATTTAATATCATATAAAGACCCTTAAAATTGGCATACATGCATGCACCCTCCGAGCACTGACATTCGCAGGCAGAGCTACACTGGTAAACTGAGCCCAAGGGGCTTGATTAACAGGAAATTTTCAGAATGCCAATTAGAGCAAAGTTTACCGAACAAATTGTTTGCACTTGTACCCTAGAACCATCATGAATTTTAATTCAGCATGGATTTACGTGGCTGAAACAATAATTAAAGATACATGAACGCTTCACGTTTGGGAGACTCCCCCATGGCTCTGCTGCGTTGGGTGGGAGCAAGGTGTCTGGGCAGGGGCTGCTGCTGCCAGGCTGGTGGATGGGTGGATGTGGGATGCACGTGGCTTTTCCCTGCAGAAACATAGGCAGTTTCCCTAGTCCTGAGCTCACCAATTTGTGCAGTGCTAGTCTCTTGTTTCTTTATTCTTTTTCCTTTTTTTTTTCTTTTTTTTTTTTTTCCCCCTTTATGCAATCTGACAAAGAATGATCCATGGGGTGTTTTCTCAATAAATGCTGGCTTGTTGTTTCCTGCCTTTTGCTTTTGGTGCTTGGAAAATGTTAAATTAGCTCCTCGGCTCCCCTGAGACCGATGCCTTGCCTAGTAGTTTTGCTGGCCCTGGGCTGACCGAGGGCTCCTTTCTCTCCTCATTTCTGCTCTTCTTCAGCCAGCCCAGGGTTGGAAGGTGGGGAAAAGCTTCACCCACTGCCTTAATGCACTGAGCAGCTCAACTCAAGGCAAAGCAGTGCTACTGCACAGCATCAACAAAAAGTCACGATTGAGAAGCACAATGTATATGTATGCCTTCATTTAAATTCTTCTCTCCCTCTACTAGTGCTGATAAATAAGTTACACGTATTTTTTAGAAGAAGTTATTTTCTGTCACTGCACTTTTAAATGTCAAGCTCCTGGAGAGGAGTCTTCAAGATAGTTTAAGGTCAGTCAGGCTTCAAGGAAGAAAGATGCAGGTGGAGAAGAAAAGCTGCTGTTGTGCTGTGGTCCAGCCTGAAGCAGGGCTCCGCTCTGAGCGATGGGCAAAACAGGCACCATGCATGGAGATGGTGCCCGAAGGCATTGCCCTCTCTGCACCACTGCACTTACCCTCGGCTATGGAATTACTGAAGACTTCTACACACAGCCCAGTGGCTGGAAATTATCTAGCCTGTTAGTTCAGGAGTACTCATGAATAATGTATACATCCAAAGGTCGGTTTACAAATGATTAATTAACCTTATGAGAGGTTATCCTCATTGGCAACATCATTCACCCTAAACAGCTTAATCATGTCTGCACAGAACAGCATATCTGAAACACAAACAATTGTTTGAGAAGGAATATTGAGGAATCATAGAGCAAGGACCAGACATCTGCACTGCCCTCTGGAGCAGCGACCGAACACCAAGCACAGGGAAAAGCTGAACCACATCTCCAGGCTGTTCTGTAGGACTCGAGAATCATTTGCTGGAACCTGGTGGCTGCGTGGTGGGGTGTAGCTGGCAAGGTGCAGAAATTGCACCTTTGCTAAGGTAAATAGATCAGGCATCTATTTTCATGATGTAGGAGCTCTGCTCTCCTGACAGTGAGAGCTGCTCCCGGTGCCTCCCGCTGCGACTAACGGCTGCTGCGCTCAGTGGGGATATTGCCTGGGCAAACAGCCCTTTAGTCCAAGGGCTTTTTGCATTTGTTACCAGTGGTTTGTTATCCATGTCTATTAATAAAGTGCTCCTAAAAGCACTTTGCCTGTCTGGAGTAATTTCTGGCTGGGACCGGGATGCCTCCAGTGAGCAGCATCTCTGCATGAGCTTGCTTATCTTCAGCAGGGCCCTGAGCTATGGCTGCTGGGGGACCTGGGGAGGCCCCCCCCTGGGGAGAGCCCTCTGTCCCCACTCCAGGCTCCCAGTGAGGCCTCATCTCCAAGCAGTGTCACTAATGACAGTCATTTGTTAGTTATGCAATGAACTCTGTTTTGGCAGAGCATGTTGGGCTGAAGGCTGGCCTGCATCAGAACCCCTCTCTGGACTGGTGAGAGTAAATGGAAACTTTGTCTACATCAGAAAGGTGCTGTTCCTCCTGCTCCTTCTTCCTCCTACCCTCTCCTTCCCCTCCAACAGCAAGCAGGACATAGAGCTCACTGGGGTTTTTTTTGGTACAAAGAACAATTTGCCCTTCTTGACAAAGCCCTTACATTCGACGCAGCAGAACTATTTTTTTACCTATGTTTAATCCATAAATGGCAGAAGCAACCTGTTCACACCTGAGCACCCATCCTGAAATGCATGAGGTTTCCAAAGTAATTCAGCTTGACTTCTGTGTTTCTGAGAGTGGGGTGATGTCTCTCAGTGAGGAAAGAGCAAATCTGAGAGAAAATGGACAAAAATGCATATCTTGAGCTGTTGTGTTTTGCTTTTGTCCAGCCAGGCTGAACCCAAGAGTGACAATGATGTCTGAAGCACAACTTTGATATGGTGCAAAACTCTAAACTGAGGACAGTCATCCCTAGAAACACCTCCCAGCCTTGATGCCTCCAGAGTCAATCTTCTCCAGGTATTGCAGGTCCCCATGCTCATGGGCTCAGCCCAGCAGTAAGGGGGAGCCCGTGCCACAGCTCTGCTATCTGCTGGTGGAGCACCAAGCCCTTCCTGCATCTGTCTTCTGGCTGCCACATCCTCACTAAATTGCTCCATTTTAATACATATATTTATGCTTTTTTTTTTTCCTTTTCTTTTAGAAGCGCTAAAGTGATTTACAACATTTTACATTACATTCTTTAATCCTTCACAATTAAAACAAATCTTTTCCCCCCGCTTTGCCCGGTTTTAAAAACATATCTTTTGTTCAGCTCATGCAGAAAAATATGGATGGAAGCAACTCCTAAAATCCCCAACCACAGGAAACAAAATTGGTGTTTTTCCAAGTTAAGTACTATAACAGAGTGAAACATACATGTTTAATTTGAAAATGTTGATTCCAAATGGATTTTTCTTTTGAAAAAAACTTCCCCCAAGCAAGTCAATATTTGTAATCAAATTGAAATTTCCTGTGGGAATTATTTATTTTCATGAGGTCTAATTTTTACAGGGGAAAATTCTACGCAGGAAGGTTTAAGTTGCTGTAAACCAGTGTTAGGAATCTGGGTGGTAGGAGGGGGCTGGGAAATCCCACTCTCTGCTGCAAAGTGTCACCACTTCCCTGTGATGGAGATGATCTGATGGAAAAGTTGAAACTCTTTTTCTTAGAGGGAAAAGCATGAGCTCCCCCCCTGTATGTTTCTTGAGAGCACAGCAGCGTGGGATAGGGCTCACCTCGAGCTTTGTTAGAGATGGAAGTGAGATACCCAAGGTGGCTATTTTGGGCTTCCTGCTGGGGTGCCATGTCGTTGACCTATCTCTGTTCTGCCAGCTGTAGGATGAAGTGAGTCATGCCATTGACTTTGCTCGCCTTGAGTAGACACGGAGATAAGAGCTACTGCTCCATGACCACTGTAACCATACAGATCCCACCCACAGTGCCTGACACGTTCATGGGTACAGGGGGAACGTGCAACCCTGTGCCTTGTGCTGCTATTACTGCACTGATGAGACTCTCAGCTAGTTCTCCAAACCTCTTGTTGGTCTTCCAGCGCCTACAAAGAAGCCCTTCAGAGTCAGTCGTCGTAGCTTCATCCTAAGGGCGATTTTCTTGTAGAACCTGTGTCCATTTTAGAGCAGTGGTTGTGGTTAATGACATGCATAATTTACATTATTATGCCTTTCATTTTTGTATTATGATAAATCACCTGCCTTCCCACTTCTTTTTATTGTGACGCACTGGGAACACAATATAGCAGTAGGAAAACAATACAGAGCTGCCCTGTCAGTCTCAAGCACAGAAACAGCACACCCATGCTACAAACACTCACAGATGCACAGCACCGTATCAGATTATTAGCTCCAAGGCAACTGTCAGCATGCAGTTTTATTGGAAATGAAAACAAGGTAATTCAAGATTTATTTTCTCTCTAAGGAAGTGCCAGGAGGCAGAAGCCAGCCCCCGGCATCTCCCGTAAAACACCCGGCGCATGGCAACGTGCTGCTCCTCAAGCAGAGCTCCTGGACTGGGGATTTTTTGAGTTATCTCTTCCAAAGGAGGAGAATTCTCCTCCTTGTCCCCAGACTGTATCCTGAAGGGAGCGATGCAGATTGAGTGACTCGAGTTTTGCTCTACCTAAAGGGAGATAAATGCACCCTACACTACTGTGGCTGCAGGCACAGCTCCTGGGAGACCTCGGGTGGCTCTTAATCATATATCCTTGAAGCTTCAGAAACATACCCTGATTATTTTCCAGCTCAAAGCATTCGTTGCCTTCAGGATATTACCATCTTTGCCCCCTTTCTAATGGCTTAGGGTGAACTGATCACCAAATTAAACTCCTTATTAGCAGCTATCTCGGTACGTCTTGCCCTGATTTTATTGCTGTGCCCAAATGCGATATGTGCCTGGGCACCAAGACAGGCACACACTGTGCCCAAGCTGAAAATATTTAGGAACTGGTAGGAACATCACAGGAAATATTTCTGAGTGATTAATTTAGAGTTGTTGAAGACTGTTCTCAAAGATGCTCTAAATGCGTTCATACCAGCTGCACTGGTTAAAAAGGCAATGAAAAAATACACCTCAGTTAGATGAAAGGTGAAAGAAGCAATAAAAAAGCATAAAACAACCTACATAATAAATGGGATAAGAGCAAACCAACGGCAACAATTATTGGTCAGAAGGCAAGAGATGCAAACAGTGCTTGACAATAAGCTGTGTCATGAAAAGAGCCTTAATGGAGATAGAGAGGCAGCCTCCACGTTCAGGTGTTTGAGTTCGCAGCGATGCTGGCAGTTCTGCAAAGAGGGAGCCCAGCAGGGCTGCTCTGGTGTGTCGGTAATTTCAAATGGAGGCTTGCTGTCATGTTTTGGACTGTGCTGAACTGTTAATGAAACATGCCTGCCTCCCCCTAGGTGTGTGTATTTCTTTAAAATCTGAAAAACAAAGCTTGGAAACCTAACTCTTCGGACTGAAATGAGAAAAAAGAAAAAAAAGCTGGTTTTCTTAGTGCGTAATCAATCTTTTTTAAAGGTCTTCCCAGCTCTATCATCACTCAAAGATGCAGGAAGAAGATCCTGCAGGGCACTGTGGAAAGATCTGCATCCAGCAGTACTGTTCGGACAGTCGTACTCGACCATCATTTCCCAAATGTGTGCATGCTGTGAGGTGTTCAGCTGCTGCTCGGGATGTCGCCACCAAGGGGAGCATCCCTCCTTGGGACACTGATCTCTGCACTCCTGATGCTGAATTATTCTGGGAAGGAGCATCAGGAAAACAAATTAGTGAGGTGTTCTTACCAGAAAATCCAGTGGCAACAGATACCTGCAAGCAACAGGGCCCAGAGACTTGTCCTTCCCTATTCTGACGAGTGAGCCTGAGGTTTGCCAGCACCTCTTGGCGAGCAGGAAGCCTCCAGCTGTGTTAGCTCTTTTGACATGGCAATTGCTCCAAAGGAGCTTCTCCATCCTCCCTAGCTTTGCCTTAGTTGAAGGCTGAGAAGCCCCTGGCCGCCAGCCATTCCAATACATCTTGCAGGTAATCCATAGTTTCCTGGGTCAGAGAAGACTCTCAGCAGCAATCCTCTACTCTTAAAGTCAATCCCCTTTGCTAGTTGGAAAATGTCTGCAGCACAATCTAGTGTTCTGCCTTGGGTGAAGTCAGCCAACTTTACACTCTCAAAGTCTTCATCCGAAGCAGAAGTAATGCAGCAAAACGGACTCAACCAAGAAGTTGTTGACAGTACCAAGACTTGGAGGAATTAAAGTAAATGACCAAAGTGATTTTTTTGGCAGAGTACTCAATCTCAAAGGACTGTGTGCTGTCCATTCTTCCCAGGGCATATTCTGGGATAGATCTTCAAGGGTAATCTACAGTCATCTTGAGCCATCCCCTACTGCCCACAGCAAAACTGTCTGACCAAAACTTCAGGTAGAACGTACCAGCTCAACGTGCTCAAGATATATCACCCAAAGGACTGACACCACCGGTAGGACCAAAAGAATGATGTGTTCAGCATGCTCAGGTTGGACTTCATGCCCACAGGCAGCTGGTTTATCCTCATGGGACAAGTCCTGCATTGCCCAGGAAACACACTGTGCCAATCCATCGTGGATGAGAGAACACATCCATGCATGGATCCTGAGGACTAACCCTGTTCCCTTCTCCAGGCGCCTGGGAACTTTGGCCACACACACATACAGACCAGCCAGGTACTGCAGGAAGCAGCAGGATGATAGATTGCAGCTGCAAGCTAAGACGTACACGCACAAAACCCATTTTTTTCTCTGCAAGGTTCAACCATTTTTGCTCCATCTGAGGCTTGAATCCAGGTTCTCCTGCCTGGCAGCCAGGGATGCTGGAAGCAGCTCAATATTAAGCCTCAGGAATGGGGGCTCAGGTTCTGTTCCCCAGCCTGGGGCAGTGCTGGTAAAGACCTCCCCTCACCCAGGTGCCTGGGAAGCTTTTGGCTGCTGCTGGCATTGGCGCAGAAAGCAAGAAGACATTTACTTCCAGGAACAGATGCAAACACAGGGAATTGCCAATTGGCCAAAATCAAATACAACCTGACCTCTGATGATCTGGAGCCTTACTACTTTCAAACAACACTGCACTCAATGTTGGCAATATAATAGTTTACCTTGGAGACGCAAAGGCTAAAGGAGAAATGAAACCTGAAGCTGCTGGGGACGTTGCTTTCCCACTGTTTCTATTACTGATAACAGGCCAGCAAAACCCCATGAGGTCCTTGAGCTCGAAGAGAGCCTGCTTGCACCTTCTTCCCAGGGTTTTGTGCCAAAGTACCCCAAAACTTAAGAGCTGGGTTTTATCAGAACACCCGAACTTCTGTAAATATAGAAAGTGGGGAATGAGCTGGAATAGCGATGTTCTACCCCGGGAGGAAGGTCCTTCCTTTTGGGTTTCCTTTCAGTCCTGCAACCTCCCAGCTATCCCCTGGATCATCATAAAGCCTTGCTGCCCCCAGAAAAGCCCCTTTCTTTCCTTTGAAGGGGAGCTGACACCCACAGGGAACAAACCCTAAGTCAGAAATAATGGGAGTCCTTTGAAAAAAAAAACCCAATAACGTCTGAGTCTGAATATAACCACAAGGAAAAAAATGGAAACTTATCTGCAATGTGCACCCCCTCCCAACCAAATTAATACCCTGGACCAGAGCCTTGTCCAGAAGCAGTGTAAATATCTCAGCAACTCATTACCTTGTTAATTGGATCACTCCAAGCTTTTTGGAACCAGTCTAAAGCACAGGCAAATCCATTAAAAAATGGATTTCTTATTTCTCTATAGCTGTCTCTAGCTTTAGTCCTTTTTCTATTAAACATTGGCTAGAGTAGCTTCTCCCTTTACCTCAGCTCCTTCCCAGCAAGGCATTTCCTACATTTTGGATGTGTGCCCCTCTTCCTGCCCCAGAGGTGCTGTGTGGGTGCTGGTAGGGTACTCTGGGAGCAATAACCCTCCTCCTGCCAAACTGCCTCTCCTTATCCTGTTCCCACATCCTGGGATCTCCCTCATTTGTTTGCTCCAACCCCAGCACAGAGGAGAAATGCATCTAGGGGAATTCTGAGCTGCGCTTTGCACTTTTTGCCTAAGAACCTAAAGATGTGTGGGCAGGAACCAACACATTGCTTCCATCCCCTGTCCAAACCTTTCACTTCCCAAGGCATCCACATGCTTGCCTGTTGATTAAGAGCACCAGGGCCACCGTGTGAGATTGGACACGACAGCAGCATAAGGGCAGCCATATGCTCCACCAGGAGAGGAGCATACAGTGATTAGGAGAGGGGCTGGTGCCTAGGGCCATGGCTGATGCTACAGAGATGTGGATGCTGCTCCCCTCACAACTCAGCCTTTCCTACCCTCAAGGACCTCACCGTGGGCAGCACAAGGAGGTAGCATCCATGCACCTCCCATTTCTGCACACAGGGAGGCCCTCCATTTGTTTTTCCAGGACCCAGCAGCCCAGCCTTCTCCTCTCCCTATGAAAAAAATCACGGCCTCCCGTGCAGCATCAGCAGCATCAGCAGCATCAGCAGCGCTGGGTGATGGGACTCAGGGCTCCTGCTTCAGGCATCCTCAAAGTGCCACCATGTCCCTAAGGCAGAGCACAGTCAGGGCCAGGCAAAAAGTCCTCCCGCAATTGTGCTAAAACATTGTAACAGCCAAGAACCATTTTCTGCATGGTGGGTCAAGCAGCAAAGCTGTTGAATAGACAGGGCGAGGAGCTGGTGTAGATTGTAGCAGCACAGAACGCCTTTTTCCCAGCAGCTGTGGTGGTCAGGGAAGTCCTTAAGCCCCTTCACTGCTTTTCTGGCAGCACCTTCCCACATCTGTGGGTCTGCACAGTGAACTGTATCACTGGCACAGCTGGAGTTAATTTTGACTTCTGAAAGAGGGAAGGAGGATTATGTTTATATATATATGCATATAATAATGTGTATTTTTAAACACAGGAAATCCTGGTCCCTCCCTGGGGCTCAGCCGGATGGGTCGCAGGGCCAAAGGAAATGCTCTGCAGCAACGCCCTGCATGCCAAGCACTTTACCAGGGCACGTTTTTGCAGCTCTTGAGCTCCTTATGCAGCTCTTGGGCTCCAGCCTGCAAAGCACTCCAAGGTGTGGTGGGGATAAAACATGGTGAACATTGTTGGCACTGTGCTGCTGGTTGCACACCCTGAGGTCTCGCCACATCAAGCCACGTGCTGATGCTGATGCTTGGCCATCCAGCTGCCGTCCTGAGGGGAGCACAGACCCATCCCCACCTCCTTCCACTCACCTCAACACCTCTCCAGTGTCCAGATAAAGGAAACAGCAGATGGCGTCCCACGCAGAGCTGGTTCTACCCCTCTCTGTACCCAGCAGGTCAGTAGTATCACAGCAGATCACTGTGGTCTCCTCCAGCTGCCTCCACCACATTCCAGGACCCTCAAATCCAGCAGCATGGAAAAACCTGCAAGATGACAGAGAGCCCTCTTATTCCTGCCGTAATTAATCCCTTTGGAATTCAATTAATGAGCTCCCTGCTGCAGCTATCAAGCCTCCATCAGTTAGGCAAACAGGCGTGCAAGCCAGTCAGGGTCTGTACGAGCACAAGACAAATATTTCACCATGTTCAAATAGAGCCTGTCCTTCTGCACCCTGTGCAGCTCAGCTTTAAGATGTTGCCCAGTGGTGAGAACTACAGGGCTCAGCTGGTGATTGGAAGAACCTGTGCCTCTCACCCATCCTGACCAGAGAGCATCTGCCATGGAAATGGGCCAGGATATGCACCAGTGATGGTGAAAACAGCCAACACCGCTGGTGCTGGATGATGCCTTATTTTTATGGTTTTCTGTCTCTTTTTACACATTTAGTTGTGCTGGAAGTGTGGCCACTGCTATGTTCTGAGCTGCTCTCCTGGGATTTTGGAAGTGGGGAAGTGTGATTCAGGCCACGCGTTGCAGGGCACCCAATTTCAAACCCCAGCTGCTGCAGTCTCATCAGCTTCCCAAACAGGCTGGCTCAAAGAGCAGCCGTCCCTGGCTGCTTGTCCACTCCCGGTGCCTACCAGGACCCAGCAGCCCCATGTGTGTGGGGATGAACAAGCAGCAGCTGCGGCTCATATCTGGGGAGCTCATCCCAGGGATGCAGGTGATGGAGCACCCCACTCCCGCTGCAGTGCTGGGAACCACATGCTCCCACCACGATGGATATTTCCCATCAGCACACTTTATTCAAAATGAAACCCATTATGGCAAAGAAAAAAAAAAATAATCCTTAATGATTATACTGCATCAACATGAATGATGTCACGTGTCCGGACTGCCTCGAAAAGCACTAAGTTGCCAAAAGATGGTGAATGTGTTCAATAGGGAGTGAGAGGGACCAGAAGAGAGGCTAAAGCTGAAACTTCCCAGCTACGCTGTTGATGCATTTTCTTATTTTCTTTTGTTGAACAGTGTGCTCTGTTTTGTTTCAAACACAGTGTTATTGCAGCGGGGTTCTGTTAGCCCCTGGGGGATGCATGGAGTTTAACAGCAGCTGCATCCCTGCTACCACCCCTCACCTGACCAGGACGACCTGCAGCTTGAGCTTGGTGCAGATGTAGACCAAGAACCTGTTGGCTCCGTGTAACCTTGTATCATGCCATGATATATATATTTATGCCATACAAAACCTATAGCAAAAAAACATCTATCCGTTTAATTAGTGAATCTTGTGCAATTCTTGAAAGCAGTGCCCTCACACACTGGTGGCTTTGCCCTGGGGGAAGTTTGGGGTCAGTCCAGCTGTTCCCACCATTGCTCGGTGTCACGATCCAGCACACAGCTAACACAAGATCCTGATGAAATGCAGATGGCAATGCCAGAAAGCACTGACGTGAGGCATGGATGCCAAGCAGCAATTTGTTCTCTGTCAAACACAGCCTCCCCAGCCTGGCCAAGCAAGCAGTGCTGCGCTATGGGGGTGAGGGCATCATTTCTTAAATATGGCCTTTTAGAACCCAAATTTTCACGTTTGTACACTCATATTTTGCAGTAGAGGTGGAGTGCATCATTTCCCTGGTTAAACATCATTTCGTTTGTGTTGCGTGTGGATTTATAATGAAACGAGGGTCACAGCGACCCTGGTAATCTTATGGCTATTTTGCCAATATTCTCCTTGAGTCACAGCGATTTGACCGAGGGGAAAATCCTGAATGTCCAGAATAACCCACAGCCTCACAAAGCACGAACCAAACCTTCCTCGTCACCTCCCACCCACTGCGACCCAACAAATCAAAATGTCTCACGACTTTTTTGGAGAATAACAAAGGCAATAAACTTCTACATCAAAGGCAAACCCCAGGCTCCCAAACTGCTTTTGGAAATGCATCTTTTATCCAAGCTCATAAGAAGTACCACACCACCTCCTTTCCCCCCACCACCCCCCCTCATTCCTGTAAAATATTTAGCACTTTTTCTTCCCAAATTTATAAACAAGTTGGCTGATTGTGCTGATGAAAACCGGTTTAAAAATTAATTGAAAGCCTTTAAAAATTAATAATTATTTCAGCTAATTAAGGGTGGCAGCTTAACATCTTTTAAACTGTTAACAATTTGGTAACTGCTGTGTGCTTGCTGTTGGAATAGAAAATGGTGGGGACTGTGAGCTGAAAAAATGTTGTATTAGTGTTTTAGACCCTGAGCAGGTTTTGGGCCCTTCTGCGTCGTCTGCGTTATTATTGGCAGCACTACCACATCTATCAAAAAATGGATCTCTACCATCATCATTTTGCTGGGATTTCTCATGTTCCAGATAATTTAAAATGCTTTCTTGTTGTCCGTAACACATTTGGATACGGATTTTTTAAATGGATACTTTCACTTCTCTCATCAATTGTTCTTTATTTCATAGCATCTGATTTTTAATCACAACCATTACCTTCCTCCTTTTCCTGATTTGTTACTTATTATCTGCAGCTTGGCTCGCTCCTCTCGCTTCCATTTTTTTGCCAGGATTTGTTGTGATCTTTCCTTTGTGATCATCATAAATACGCTTGTCAGGAAGGAACCGAAACAAAGAGCATTTATAGCTCTGAGAATTTGAGAGTTTTCTGTTTTCCAATAAATCAGTTGGCAGAGCTGTAAAAACGTGCAGCATGTGTGAGAACTGACTGTTGGGTTTGGCTGTAAGGGCTTCCAACTCTTTATTGTAGCCGAATTGGGCAGTTGATACCCGTGGCATCTCTTGCAATTGCAGAGGCCCTCAGCAGGGGATACTATGGACCTTGGCCCAACCTCAGCACCAAAAACCACCTGGGTGTACCCTACAATGCGAAAGAGCCTGTATTTAGAGTCATGGAATTGGGGTTGGAAGAGATCATCCAGTCCAGCCATCAGCCCATCCCACCATGCCTGAGAACCATGTCCTCAAGTGCCACATCTCCATGGTTCTTGAACACCTGCTGGGATGGTTACTCCACCATTTCAGCCCTAAATCCCATGCTACGTACTAAAGGCAGCCCTCTGTTTCCAGTTCAGACCTGCTGTGCCATGCAGACCTCCTGCTCTGAGCTCGCATTGCAGCTTGGCCCCGCTCTCCCATCTCAGGAGTTTCCTGATGGATTCCTCCACAAAGCTTCAAACCAGAACTGGAGTTAAGAGGAGCCAACAGTCCGTATGGGGAGGTGCTGCCAGGCCAGCGGGACCCGAGGCATCCCACTGCATCTCCCTGTGATGCTCTTCCTTACGCTGCTCAGTTACTCCAGAGCCCATCCAGACTCTACAGTGCCCTTTGGCAGAAGTTTAATTATGCAAAATCGTTATG